GCAGAGCGGCTTCGAGCGAAGCGTCTGGGGAAAGCTGCTCGGCAGTTATGGAAGTGCCAACGACACGGCTGATTACTTAGATGTTGCTTCAGTAAATCGCCCAGAAACAAGGGGAACGCATGAGACATAAGGTATGAAACTCGTTTCATATTTGAAGAATCAGCTTGAATCCAATGTGCCCATCTCTGCTTGTGGGCTCAAGATTTTGGCAAGGGTACACCTGTGCAGGTTTTGGTCAGTTTGAGCCGGGATTCTCACAAAGGAGGTCAGTGCAGTGCTCCCTCGCAATGTGTGATTCGTTCCTTTTTACCACTCGACCAACAAGGCTCAGACAGAACCATATGTTGTGACACACGCTGGCAACGTGCAAGCAAGCTTGACGCGCTCTTGGACAGTGAAGACATTTGTCAAGCAATTTCTGCTCCAAAGCTGCTTGTTGGCCGCATGTGTTCCCATATTTGACGGCAACCTTTTGAGAGCCCTCTAAGATAGAAGAAGGAAGAGAAGAAAAAGGAGAAGACTTTGTTCCCATTGCATTTTGATGACAAACATCTACCTTGCTCCAGCTCGCCAGCTTGCTAACACGATCTTGGCCATTTTTTGTGTCCCTCGGGTTGCCGTCCACAGGTTGAAGGAAGGGCTGGGGGGGCCTTTCTAACTGAGTTAGGGAAGGAGAAGAAGAAGACAAAATAGAAGAACCTCTGACATCTTTTTGCCCAAGGGGGCGGGCGCCAGGGGGCCTATTCCATTTTTCTTCCGTTTGCACAGGTCTTGAAGGTTTCAAGGGCCCTCGTTTCCGCCTTCCATGGTTCGACCCTCAGGAGCCCCCTCGTCCGGAGGCGGCCGAAGGGAGGGCCGGGCAAAAAGAGGTAGGGGAGCAGGATCAAAGGAAGCCAGGGCTGTTCCACAAAAGGGAACCTCGAGAAGGCCCGGTTTAAGACTGCGATTGCTTCTTAGCGGGGAAGCAACCAAACCAGTTACTCCTTCACCATGTTTGACCCACTTTTTTGAGAGGTTGAACGGTGCGCCGGCTTGGTTTTTCTCCCTTTGGCTCTGGTGCCAGCCGAGCAGCGTGGAACACCTCCAAGTAAAGGCCACATGATCCGATTGAACTGCAGAGGTGCGTTCGTAAGCAGATCCCTGCATTGCGTAACGGCGTTATGGTGCTTTGCAATGGGGTGATAAGGTCATTACGTTGGGAACCACTTATGTATGGCAGGGGATGCGGACGACACTGGACATTCCAACTGAGGCCTTGACACAGGAGAAGTTTATTGCCACCTAGAAGCAAGGTTTCCTTTTGCTGCAAGGGAGGTTTGCTCTTTGAATGTCCTTTGCCTGCGCTTCAAATATCCCTTTTGGTATTTGCTGCCCAGGCCTTGGAGTCTCAGAGCGCCAGTGGGCGCAAAAGCCCCGCATAAGCCAACTCGCAAGCCCGGCGTAAAGAAAGGCCACCGGCCACAGTGGTGACCGCAGAGGCCTGATGTTGAGTTTTGAGATAAGACTGCGCAAGTGTACTGACAAGTTGCAATTGTCCAGCCGGAGCTGCCAAAATGTACTTTGCGTACGGCAGCTCTACTGACAAATTGCGATTGTCCAGCTTGAGCTGCCAAAGTGCTCAGAAGGACGAGCGAGACATCTATCATGCGCACATGTTGCCTGTCAAGGCCCAACCGGGTACAACTCAATACGTGAACGCTTTGCCTTGTTCAGCGGCGGCTGGGTTTCTGAAACCAGAGTAGCTACACCACCAAAAGCCGGGGATTGAAATCTGGGGTCATAGAAATTATGGGATTTCGCGCCAAGTGCCGGAAAGTGTTTTCCATTGGTGGCAACCCACGCGCGCAGACAACGCAAGCAAAGGCACGTCGTGGGCCCTTGATGCGCACATCAAATGAAGTCGCAGTGTCTGTCCCTGTAGGCGCGCCGCGCCACATTGAAGCCGAAAGAGGAGGGGGCGCCAAAAGAGCAGAAGGTCCAGGGGCTTGCAATAAGCTGGTGTAATCTTGGCCTACCTCGCCTTATGACGTTAAACATTCACCTGTGAGTTGGTTTACACAGTGTCCATTTTTGTAAGTTGAGATGTTCCCAACTTACTCCAGTAAGGCCCAAACGATGAGATTGATCTATCATGGCAGGGCATATCAAGGTCCCGCATTCTTATTGCTTTTTGGGGTGGTTTTCCCTTTCGATCGAAACACCGTATATTGCTTCTTGGTATTTGGGAGGTCGACGGCCACATGTTGACATGTTTTGCAAGGTTGATCACTAAAACAATTTCGCCCCTGTTCGGTCAAGTCAAGGTGGCTTCTGCGTTTTGCTGTTCTAAAGTCGGGCGATATGATGGTTTCCCAGAGTGTAGGCGCCAACCCTTCACGGCAAGAATCAACACTATTCGGCCAAGCTGAAATGCAAAAAACATATGACGCAGAGCCAACCCTTTGTTTTGTTACAAGATTGTCCAACAAAGCATGGCTGGGCTACGCGCGTCAACCAAAATGAGTTGGACCTCCTGTTTCTATTTGCGGGTGCTTTTCCTTTGGTTGCCCAACTTAAAAAAAAAAGCCCAATCCCGGAAGGGATCCTGTTTTCAGGCAGTCCCTTGGGCATTTTTTTTGGAGAGGAGGCGGTTGTAGAAGAAACCCATCCAGAAAGCCAGCTCATTTTGTGGTACCTTAGGTTTGGCATAGCCCAAAAACCTGCAAACTGGTACTCAGTTTGAGCTATAACCTACTCATGTCATCAGACTTCTGACAACAAGTGCAGGATTGTCTCAAAGTAGGGGGGTGCCCTTTTTTGTGGGTTTCAAGCGAAGCTAAGGGAACCCACCCATGTGGAGGGGTCCCCCAATTATAAGACGACAAAAACATACGGGGGAAAGCAACAGCGCAGCAAGCAAGAGAGCAAGCAAACCTGGGACCCCGCAACAGCAAGTGCTGTCGACGTGCAGCTGCCGAAATTTTCGCGCTGAACTCTTCATGCACAAGCTGTGTCAGTATTCAGAGGCCTTACCATGCAGGGCTCCATTTTGGCGTTGCCTTGGACCCACCAGTTCCCCTTTCAGACAGGTGGAAAATCCCAAGTCACCTCAAAGGAAACCAGCAGAAACACAACATGGAACGCAGCTCTGCATGAGGTGCTGAGCTGAAGCCTTTTTCTGCTCCACTTCTCAGAAACTGGAACTACCTGTCCCTCCTGCATGCCGACAGTTTGTCCTTCCTGCAGCTGACATGCAAATGTCTGAAACATGTGGCGGCAGATTTCTAGCATTCCCACATCTTGCTCAAGGTGGACACATGCATGGATGGTAGCCCCAAGAACTCTGCACCTTTTTATGTATGGGTAACTCGTGCCCCAGACAAGGCGCACATTGTGAGCCTGTCTGGATATTGTGCCTTCCAGAAAAGGTTGCCATCTTCTCACATGGGCTCTGGGCCTGAAAAATGACAAGGTATGGACAACCGTGTTTCGGTGGAATCGTTTCATGACGGCTGGCTCATCATCATTTTTCTTGTTTAGCAGGGAACTAGGTAACGAGGCCATCGATCAAGTCTGTCCGCAGTCCTCAGTAGGTTGGTTTCGCAATAGACGGCTCAATCTCCTGCTTCTTGTTTGTGGAAGGACCGCAATCAAAATCGATCTTTGGCTTGACCCATCTAAATACTTTGAAATCAGGCTGGATGATTGGAATGGTTGGTTTCATGACGCAATCCCAAAACATTCCCTTCTAAACACCAGCCAGGTCTGGTGTCAAAGTGTCCGATGAAGGCACACCCGAGATCTCCCCAGCACAGTGCGCTTTGAACCCACCTTTCTTTGTCATGTGTTCTTGTGGAGATGAGGCAGGCCAGCATGTTGAAGACATAATCCATGCAACCGCAGGCTTACGCATGGTTTTGACTGCGTTGACAACAGCCTGCTCCACCAAGGCCGCGCATTACGTGACGCTGGAGCTGCCCGGGCTCTCAGGCCGAGGTCATCTTACAGATGATGGGCTGCTTCAAATAAATCCATTACAAGGATTATTCAGCTGCTTTGGACTTTTACCGGTCAGGCCGTTCCACAAATTGGCATGGCATGGGGACGGCGTTGGAATTGCTGCAGAGTTGTCTTAAGATCGATCGGAGTTGTCTTGGAATCGGTTAGAACGCGATGGAATTGTGTGGAACTTGTGTGGACAGGTTCCAGAAACATATGCTTGAAGTGACCCTGTTTGCAGCATCGCTGATTGGAAAACCTGAATCCAGCTCGAATCCAAACATGCATTGAGCTCAAACGCAAACCCAGATTCAGATCATGTCTGAACGCGTGCAGTTCCTGTGACTGTGACTATTTTGCCCGCAGACCTTCTGACTATCTGATATTCTGACTTCCTAAGTCTCCAACTTCCTGACTTTCTGATTTCCTGCCTTTGAACTTTCTGGCTTTCTGGCCGTTGGAAGCAGTAAGGGACATTGCAGCAGGAATGATTGCGCCAAGGACGGTCACGGCAAGCCAGGAGGATGTGCGGAAGGTTGGGGTGTTGCAGCAGGTTTCTAGGGGTCGGCTTGGTGGGACATGTCGGGCTCTATTTGTTTCTACAACACACTTCTTGTGCACGCCGAAAGGGCCTCAGGGGACATGATTTGAAAGCTTTGTGCCTGACATTCGCTTGAGTGGCATTTGGCTGGATTTTATTTTCGGTTGTTTCTTGTGGCAGCTGACTGGGGTATTGCGTTGAGGCACGTGGAATCAGCCAACACTTGTTGGTGTCTTTTGTTCAGGTGTGGCTACTCGAATAGTTTGGCCCGGGTCTTTGTGCTTACCCGGACAGGATGACTGATTCATCCAGGTTTCCAACACATCAAAGTCTTGGTCTCTTTCCATCAGAACCACCAGGCGCTGCACTCGTCTGAAAAATCCAGCTGCCGAGAGACACATATTCCACATCAAACGATTTTGAGAAGACATTCAGTTGAAATTATCATGCCCCGGAATTTTGTTTGGTGACTTGACTTGCGCTGATTTTGACGGAAAGCAGTGCGTCTTACTTGCGCAGGGGGGCGCCAGCGCATCTTAGAGTCATAAGATCTGTTGGTGTTTGGTTATGTTTGGCAAGTTACACGCGCAAACCTGCGCCGATATTCACAACTTGTACGTTTCTTTCACAGTTTGCAATCGTTTCGGCTTAAGACTCGTGAGGGTGATCAGCTGATCATGGGCACCACGGGCCCTCTCAAAAATCCGGCCCCAAACATGCCGACCAAAAGACCCCAACTTGCCCCGAACATCCAGGCCGCTCGCCCCACATCAGTTGCCACAGGAAACATCCGAAACCGAACCTTTCCAAACCCTGACCCGGATCATTTGCCCACAGACCCAAGTCAATTGCGCAACTGTTTGATGACACGAACCCCTGCTCGCTGGCTGGCCAGGCCTACCTGCGCCTCGCAAAGAAGTGGCATCCTGCGCCTGCCTCATTTCAGCGAACACTTGGCATGATGTGTTGGAGAAACATCCTGCACTGCGCTCTGCTGGCTGCCCAGGACAAGAACCACAGCAATGCCACCAGCTCAGGGGGTGTTGAGGTAGCATAGTTCCACTTCGATTCGAGTTGCGCATTGATGCAATGTGTGAGGGTTCGTCAAGAGTCTGCGTATTGTCACGGGGCCAAACAGGACTTGAATGTGTGTTGCATCAGCATCAAGCAAGGTTGGAGTGAGTTATGAGGCCGCGGAGGCAGCCGAGCGCTTCAAGCAGGTGGGAGCTGCTTACGAGGCCAGACACACAGGAGCACAATCCAACCCCCTCAGAAGGGGTTAATGGAGGGGATGGCTGTGTGTCTCTGTGGTGTGCGTGGCAAGGGGCTGCGTCCGAGGCACTGCGGGTGGACAGCTCGGCGTGACAATCCAAAAAGTCGGATGGATCTGCTGGGCTACCTTTCCCCAAACAAAGATGGGGCGCTTTCTAGGAAGCCTTTTTCCATTTGGATTCCAAACGCTCAGAGGGTTGCAGTTTTGCATCATGGTCGAATGTGGCCAGCCCTTGCATAGTGATTATTGTTGCCTACATGCGGAGTTCCCACCTAGGTGATCATACAAGAGTGTCTTGACCATGGCACATGTCTCAAACATTCGCTGTTGTTGCTTTGTGTGTTTGGTTGTTTGCTTGCATTATTTTTGTTAGTGTTTGGCGGGCTTGCCAAAAACAACAAGCAAACACACAAACCCTTCCGGACTTGGGCAGACTGTCACGCTTTCGTTATGCTTTCCAGTTCGCAACGTGGTTGTGGACAGCGGAATTTCAGGGCCAGGATGTTTTCGAGCTTTCCGCGGATCAACAAGGTAGCGCACGCGTGAGCAAGTGCCCTGCCGCGCCCTGCCGCGCCCTGCCACGCCCTTTCCAGCACACACACACACGGCAAGAGAGAGCCAGACACTTATTTGCCCAAAGGCGGCGACTTATTGACCTTTTAGTTTTCTAATGCTGATCTAGTTTGGTCAAGCCTCCAACAGGTTAAGCTGTCATTGCTAGTGCCGTTACCGAGTATGGGGTTTTCATGATGCACATTTTCGGATGCTACGTTTGTCATGATACATGCCTTCCCACTCGGCTTCGTTTCTTCAAATAGGACTTGGTTTTCATTATGGCCCACTCCTTTCAGTTTTTGCTTGAATCTTTGACCTTTAACTTGTTGGAAGATTGTGTTCCCAAATGACCAGAAGTTCAACTTTCGCTATCTACCAGTTTGGCACCATCTCCGGCGCCGGTGGGCGCCGGCGATCGATCGCCCCTGCGATGTCTTGGCCGCGCGGCCGATTCGCCGCGATGCCGGCGCCTTAGTCATACGGTGGATTTCCTGCATATTGCCAGTAAACCAACCGCACTCAAGCACAAAACCATGGACAAGCACGAACATCTAGTCTTATTTGGCTCCGACGGCATCCACCGCAGTTGTTCATTGGCGCTCCTTTTCGGGTTTTGTTTGGGTTCCGTATCTCTCGTCACCAATCCGGGTACCTTAGGCCTCTGGCCTGGGGATTTCTGGGCCTTGGGTCACCGTAAAGCCCAGATTCTGGTGGAGCAAGCATTCTTGCACGGTTATGGCTGCACCCATCTGTGCTTCCTGCCCAGATTCTGCAGCGTGACCAACGCTCGCAGATGAGTCAAATGTCGTTTTAAAGAATGGATCGCTCCCCAACACACTCCATGAGAAGTCCCAAAAAGGTACGGGAATGTTGGGTTGATTCCTTGAGTGGCATATGCAAAGGATCAAACAAGTCTTGACAGGTTTGGGCTAGGCCTGCCTCAAACTAGCTTGCCACAAACTGGCTCCATTGGTCATGTCAATGTGAGAAATAGTCAACAAAGCAACACTCAAGGAAATAAGCTCAGGGGAGCAATGAGAACACAGGAAGGATCAATCCACCTATTTTGAGAAACACCCACTTAACGGGTCACCCAATCAAGGTTGACTATGTTTTGACGCAGAATCAGCAAAAACACAACCCCTACTCCAAATGCCCGCTTTTTCAGGGCATATTTTGAAGAGCAAGGTTTTCCGTTGTTCTTTACCTCCCTGTTCAGTCAGGGCGTGATGAATCATGCCCATGCCCTAAAAGTGAGTATCGGGTGGGGTAATTCCTAGTGCGCCCCAGAGTTGATAATGACCCCTATGAAACATCACTTCTGTCCTAAGATGCCTAGGTGTGTTCTCAAAAAACAAGCAGGGAATGAGGGAATGACGCCCAATCATCCCTTATTCCTTCGAAACATTGATTCATGTTGACTCCGTACCCCCTTTTTTACCATCCCCTATGGCTTGAGGGATCCATTTGGCTTGAGGGATTCCATGAGAAACCAAGTCATTTCGAATTGGTCGCCCAGAAGGAGCAGTGACGAGCGCGCCTGGTGGAGCAGCGCCTAGTATCCCACGGAGGGGAGCGGGCGGCTGGGCGGCTGAACCTGGTCTTCGGGGCGCCACGTCCGATTCGTCACCTCTATGGGGTTCCCGTTAAACGTGACCCCTGGGGAAATAGGGTGGCCCAAAGTATCTGAGGGGGGACCCAAATAGCTACCTGTGTTTTGGAGCTAGCTTGGGGTTGAAAGGACACCTCCCTGACTAACCACCGCGCCGGTGAGCAACAACACGGCTGACACTTTCCGCACCCACTGAAGTTTGCCAGCAGAAACCACTTGTAGACTATTGTGGTACTCGTACCAAGTATATAAGTGACAGTGACAGCGCGCTGGCTGGAAAGTTGGAGTGCATCGCCAAGATGAACTAGGTCTTTTTAGCACGCGAATGCATTTGCGTGCTCCATCCGACCAACATCTTGATGTTGGTCTTTTCCAATGAACGCCAATGTGGCTTGACTGTCAGCTCCAATAATCCCGAATAATGGAACTGGCTGCTTGTTGGAGGCCTAACCCGTGACCCCGGCTGCGGGTTTCTTTGCTGGCTACCATGAAAACAAACCATGCTCCGGACAGATGGGTGAGTCCTTTTTTAAGGGTACCCGCTTTTTATAGGTTTAAAGGACAGTCAAAAGGAAAACCACCACTTTTGGGGGTCCCATAAAAACAAAAGACACACACAGATGGAGAACCCTTCAACCACAAGTCAAACCGAGCATGATTGAGAACAGTGGTTTGGGTTTGGGGCACACTTCTGGATGCAGCGACTAGGCCACCCTGGATTCAGTTTGAGATTGAAACAAAGCTTGGCGGTTCACATTTGGCCGAGGAGTTAGCGGGCCCGCGACAAGCATGCCGAAGCCCTCTCGGAGGCCCTTTCCCTTTTGACTGACAAGAAAAGGCGGAACTGGAAAACTCTGAGTTTCATTGGCAACAACATCTGAAACAGAGCGTATGGATGTAGATTGTGTGCCTGTGTTCTTCAGTCGCTGATTGATAGACGCAACAAGTGATTAATTCCTGGTCTCCCTGGTTCTTCAGAACGAAGCATCAACAAGGTGTGTATCACATGTATTCCACGGGACAAATAGAACTCAACAACAGCAACATATCACACACACACACACATATATCAAGGGCCGTAATGAGATTTGGCGGTCTGCCTCCCCAATCTAAGCAAGCCTCTGAGCATGCCCTTGACAGACCTCCGATCTTTGTTGCTCTTGGTGATTCTCAAAAAAAGCCTTATTTGAAGAGCCAATATGGCCACCGGATGGATTCTCACCTCTGGCTTAGTCGACTCCCAAAGCCCCCGCCAGCTTCCTGGGGCCCAAAGGTACGGCTCTTAGCCTCGCGGAGAGCAAGATGTCAGGCAGAGCTGTCGTTTTATGAAGCGATCGCCAAGTCAGCTTTCAATCCACGGCTTGCAGCCCATGCAAAATTCATGAAAATGCTGTTTCTGAGTATGGGGTGCTCTATGGAATTCCCAGGTAAGTCACAGCGCGCTGCCGAACCATGGGACAAAGAGTTGCAACCGCCGGATGGATCGGCCACTTGGGCATTCAGAGCACTGCGTCCGCCTGTCCGCCTGCGCAGGCGGCTGAGTTGGGCAAGACCGGCTGAAAAAGAGTTGCTCCAGCATGGGACTGGGCTACGCAGAGCTGGGCTACGCAAGGAGCGTGACGCATGCGCTGAAAGTCACACGTGCTGTTCACTTGTCTCGGCTCAGAGAAGTAGGCCTCCGCTTGCGCAAAATGCGCAGAACGGTTCGCAACTCCAAAGGTCCTGGATGAAAAGGTTCCCCTCCAACTGCCTTGCCCAGTGATTCCCAGTTACCCTTATAGTGGGCAACCAGCTTTTTTTTTAAAGAGGATGGTTCCCTTGGTTACCTACTATACAGGTAAATGGATCCACCTGGTTGTTTAATCAAAGGCATTTCCAGGCACCCACCCGGGAGGTACTAGGACCCTTTTGTAAGCCTCTTAGACCCTGTAGATTGCGCGGCCATGCCGCATCATGCCCCGACCTAAGGCTAGGAGAGGAGGTGGCAGACCTTAGGATGTTCGGACATGGTTGTGGAAAACTGGGTAGGTGGCTACTTGAGTTTCGCATTGTTGGGGTTTGTGCGGTCTACAAGGGCACTAATCGAATCCTGCAATGCCTGTGGTGCCTTCAAATACTTTGGACCTGTTGGGACAATGAAGTTGTTCCACAAGCTTGTGGGAATGAACCTCTTCTTTGAGGTCAGGCTCTTCACCTTTTGGATGTGTCTTTTTTGAGGGTGCCCCTTTTTGTTTGGTGGATTTGAAGGACAACCGCAAGGAAACCGATGCCATTTTGGGGGGTCCAAGTCCTAAACAAAGACACCCTTTGCAGGTCAAAAACCAAACCCAGATCCCAGGGTACAGTTGAAAAGGCGCATCAATTTGTGGCCAGTTTCTGCACTGGCCGAGGCCAATTGCACATAGTCACTGTGTCAGTTTGTTTGTTTTTGCTTGCTTGCTTGCCTGCCTGCCTGCCTGCCTGCCTGCCTGCCTGCCTGCTTGCTTGCTTGCTTGCTTGCTTGCTTGCTTGCTTGCTTGCTTGCTTGCGTGCTTGCGTGCTTGCGTGCTTGCTTGCTTGCTCTCTTTCTTTGTTTGTTTATTTGTGTTGTTTTGTTTGTTTATTTCGATATTTGTTTGTTTTGATTTTGTTTGTTTGTTTGTTTGTTTGTTTGTTTGTTTGTTTGTTTGTTTGTTTGTTTGTTTGTTTGTTTTGATTTGCTACGATTTGTTATGTCGCATCGGTTTGGTTGTTTTCTGTTCCTTTTATTTTCTTATCATTGTGTTTTCTTTCTGTTCGTTTTGTTTAGATTTTGATACCCTTCAAAAAAACCACTCGGGATGCTTCAATTTGGAGACTCATTCCCGGAATCCAAGAACCCGTCACCTGTTCGAAATCAAGGGAGCCCTGTAACTTGAAGCAACTTTAAGGGACACCAAGTTCACCCCACTGACTTCACCCCTTGACCAACCATGGAGGTTTCATTTTTGGGGCTAGGAGCCTTACTTCGTGAATTCCTTGACTTGTATCAAACAAACAGTTCCTTGACTTTTCCCGGCCATACGCAGGAAGTAAGGAGCAGTTTTGCAATGACTGCCCATTGAGGCTGAGCCGGCTGCCACGCCCAAGACCGATGCCACAGCCACAGTTGTTGGGCTGGGGGCAACCAATTTTGGGTTGACCAGTGTTGTGGTCGACAAAGGTTCAATCGGCCTTTTACAATTAACCCCCACTGCCACGGTTCAGTGCCTCTACTGGATTTGACGAGTCAGAGCCCTGTTTGGCTGTTTTTTAATGATTCTATTTGCAGTGGGGAACCCAGCAGCCTTGTGTCTATGTTTTACTTGGGCTGTTAGGTTGTTTTCTGGATGCATGCTCATGATTTCTCTCGTTGCCTTCTAAACGACGGACTGCTTGACGTTTCTAATGACTCACAAGATCCTAAGGGGTCCCCCCAAATCTGATCTGCCCTATTCTGGAAGGTAGGATGAATCTGCTTCTAAACATGATGGGATGTTGCGGGTTGGTTTTCGGATTTGGGATCCTGGGACTGATATTCATTCACACTTTGCCAACCGTGAGTCAACCTTGCTTTCTTACAGGATATGTCATATGACATATGACATAGGTTTAAGGTTCACTAAATGAGATCGTCCACCATATATCATGTTTGGTTGGGGCAGCAAACACTCGCTCTCTCAACCCTTCCCAGGCCTGTAGTGCCGCAGTTTTTTTTGGTTGGGGCTCCCCTTGGAAATCAACGGCAACAGAGCAGTTTTGTTTTAGCAGAACGATGTCTGAAAAGAATGGGGAATCGAATGAGCCCTCAGGATGTCTGAAGCGCAGTTCTCTAGGACATCTGTGATCCCAAAGCTTCGACCCATTGCCACATATGCCATGGTCAGAGCACCCTTTCACTTCAGGCTGGTAGGATGGTCATGGACCTCTTAGACATTTTAGACAAGATAAAGGTTCCTGTCAAAGGAACCATAACCATGTCACAATGTCACACATGACCACACCTGCCATTGTTTGGCTGCGCATGCATGTGTGTGTGTGTGTGTACGCGCGCGCGTGGCCTTTCCGCTTGGCCTAGTTGTTCGGTGTGCACCAAAAAGGGTCAATCCCGAAAAAAATTCTTTTCTTCTCCCAGGGTCACTGGGCAACTGGGCTGGGCAGCCTGGTCATGTTTGTTGGGGTGGCTAGTATATTCTTGGTGAATACAGGCTAAGCATGATGAACCCACCATACCACCCGCTTAGAGAATTCATTGACCAGGATAATTTGGAGTGCAGGCATGTGTTGTTTTCCTGTTTTGGGGAAATCCCGTTGGTCTCGGGACGTTTGACTGTGGTACATTTCTAACAGACCAGGTTCATCCGTTTGCACCAATTACTCACCTAAAGCGGTTGCCGGTGATAAAGGTCGCTTAGGGATGTCTATGAATCAGGGTTGGTGAAGACTACAGTTGTTTTGCCCTTGTCCAGACAATCCCAAAACGTGCAATTGCACATTTACCCGCATTTACCCTCCAGGTGCCTACATTGGGGGCGGCGAATTTGGTTTTGTTTTTTTCCCCAAATTCGGCGCCAAGGCCAAAGGCGTTGCCGAGGCATTGGAGGGTTTCCCATCGACTGGCTCTCCCAATCTGCCTCCAAATCCAAGAACCTTGTACTCCTAAGACTACTTTTGAGCATGGTGGGATCACTCGGGGTTTCCCACTTCTGTGATACAAGGGAATCTCGATTCCCCCCTTTATAAGGGGGGGGGGTTAGACTTTGGGAAGCCCTTTTTGTAGTATCACAGAATTGGTCATTTCCCACAGCCCTGTTTTTATTGGGAACCCCGGATTAATAAATTGTTGATTCATAATTGGGGAGTGTCTGCCGCAGTGTCCCCTTTTAGTGGGGGGTCATTAGTTTTCAAGGGAACACCCCCCGATTAATAGGACTGGTTTGTTTATCTGGGGTCAACGTTATTTCCCAGAAATCTGTGTTCATTTGCAGTGGGTCAGTGAGGGTGACAAAAGGCTATGTATGTTTTTGCTGAACCCCTTTCAAAGTGACAAGTAGCCATAGAAATCTCAGTTGTTTAGTGCCACCCGTGTTTTCTGTTTACTTGGTGGATTCCCCACTGAATGCTCAACCCGAAAAAGATTCCCTTTCTGCCAGGGTCACTGGGCATCTGGCTTCTTGGGGCATCCCTCTCCTTTTTTGGTGGGATTTTGTTTGGCAACACCATGCTGAAGCATGACATCTTTGCCCTTCTTGGTGTGCTCCATTTTGTTTTGACTTGTTCGATCTTTCTTTCTTGATTCTGGAGCAAAAATCAATCAGCCGCAACATTTCCCGCCCGTCCTATCAAAATCCTTTGAGAGCAACCTTCGACATACTTTGGAGTCCAAAGCGTGGGCATTTGTTCCATAGCCCACTGAAACTGAGGGGGCCTCTGCGCTGTCCAACGTTTTTGGTTTGCCTTTTTGCCTACGGGGCACTACTTACCAAGTCGGCAATTTGTTGCGTAATGGGTCTTTGCATAGTTGCGAAGGCCCATTCAAACTGCTTGGCCAGTCAACTCGAGCAATCTTCAACCCACCCAAGCAGTGAAGCGCTGCCCAACGTTCCCCCAAACAACTGGCTTTGCACATGCGGAGAGGCCGGTCAACGAGGGTCCCTTTTTTTCCTGCTCCCAGTTCAAAAACAAGTTTAGGTGAGCTTCTTCTTGGTGTTGATCTTTTAAGGGGAACCCAGTTGCCCAGTAGCACCCTTGCTTCTTTTTTGTGTGTCAAAAGGCCGCCCTTTTTGTCCCGCTTCTGACATAGCGATGCCTGGTCCACTCAGGAAACCGATCTTAGTTGCGGGCTTCCTGAACGGGATGATCAATCCCAATTCAGGGCTGTGCAGCTCTTACCGACCTCTATTACTCTCAGCAACACAACCTATCGTTGTTTGCAGCCTCCCACTCCTATGGCGCGTCGAGAACATGCGGCTACAAAGAACAAGCCAAAAACCAACTCGCCGAGTCAATCCGCAGAGGGGAAGCAAACCCAGTTGCTAGCGTTGTCGGAAAGAAGTAAGCTATCAGCCTCGGTAGAGTTCAAAGCCGGGAGAATCTCCAATAACTACTTTATATTTTGGGGCTAATATGATTTTCTGTGTACCCCAGACGTGGGCCACGTATTGGTTGAAATCGCCTGTTGGGTGGAAGGACACACCTCCCCAATTCAGTTTCATCAACCTTTTGACTCACGGACACGGGAATTGCGCCATCTACTTCCATGGTAACCTTTCAACTTGTTTGAAAGGCGATGGTTTTCTCAGCAACCAACAAAAGTTGAAGGCCTTTTGTAGTTTTGTAGAGTGCAAAGATTAAGCAAGATTGTTTCCGGTTGGTTTTACAGGGCAAGTAAAGGAACTACCCATGCTTTTGGGGGGTCCCCTATTTTCAGGCACCCATATAGAGAGAACTCGGTTCTGGCACGATGGTCTAACCAACCGCACGTGTTTTCGCAGTTTGGGGCATCGGGGATGCATTCTTTGCAAGTGATTGCATGAGGCTGCTAGTTTAAAGCTGAATAGGCTCATGTGTTGTGGGGCAGGGGGCTACTTGCACACTTATTTCATTTCATGCTTTGACTACTTTGTCTGGCGTGAGTCGATCAGCTTCATGTAGCGCTTTACAGGATGAAGCTTTGCCAGCCTCTGCTTGGCAAAACCCGCTAAAGTGAATAAAAGCTTTAGTGTAAACAAGCAGCAGCTGTTTTTTTCTACAAGCTAGACAGCGTTAATTTGCTGCAACGTTTTTTGCGCATTTATCTATAACAGAATGTACTTAAATGAAAACACACACACACACACACACACACACACAAAACACTTTTTGTATCATCCGGCCCGGCCTCTACGATATAACTTATAAACTGCAGAGAGAACTGGCCGGTGGGACGGATGGAAGAAGTCATTGATGGAAGGGTGAGCGAAGAGATGCCCACCCTTCACCATCCTATGCCATATCTTCATCTCAGCTGTCTCCAAGCAATTACTATCTAATGGACGGCTTGGGGATGGCGAGAGAAAGGAATCTTTTGATATCTTATTGCTGAGTCCTCCCGCACAGACGAAGGAATGGGAAATAGAACAAACCAATTAATTATTATATGGCTTTCATTGTACCTTCATTCCATCAACCAAAAGGTGAGAAGATAGGGAAGGGAAAAGGAAGAACAGAGCCAATGACACTGAGTTTATCTTGCTGGTGCTCAGTAGGGAATGACCCATGGTTTGGGAAAGAACCTAGGGATTCCCTTAAAGGAAACCATAACGGGGATGGTTCATAGGGGTCATTCCCTGAGCACCAGCAAGAATAGAGCCAATGACACTGAGTTTAAGAAGTCACTTGTTTGTGATCCTCTTGGGCGTTCGAATCCCCTTCAAAGTGATAAGGTTGCCATGAGGATGGGAATCATAGTCCGCACAGCCGTGAGGCTGTGATGCGACCTTTTGACTTGTTGGTTTTCATGTCTGTTGTTTATTTTTAGTCCAAAAGGAAGAATAAGGAACACAACAAGGAGTTGTTTCTTTTCACGCGGTGTGTCTTCTTTTAGGGGACCCCCCAAAATTGTGGTTTTCCTTTTGATTTGCCTTTAAAGCCACAAAAGAAGGACCCTCAATCACAGACAGACCCATGTTTTGTTCTTCAGTTCTTTTTGTTCATTTTTGGGCCCCAATAGGTGCACCTTTTATTTCCAAATCAATTTCCCCACTCAGGGAGACATTGAAGCCTTCGCTCCGTTTCCAAACAGGGGACCCAACAAAGTAAGGGTTTTCCATGTCGTTTGCCTTTGAACCAACCTGAAAAAGGCACCGCAACAAGAAACACCCTCAACAAAAGAATCCTTTAAACAAACGACACGCCCAGTTCCCACCTGCGTTGCTCAGCGCCCCAACGACTGCAAACGGCTCAGGCCGGGTCGAAGTCCGCATCCGCGGTGTCGGCGGACCAGCTGGCAGAGAGCCTCGAGGCCCCCAACAAAGTTGGGTGGGTTCGGAACCTGCGCAAGGAAAAGAGAGAGAGAGAGTTGTTCCTTCAATGTCTAAGAACCTAAACACGTGCCAACAGTGCTTCACGGTTGTCATTTTTTAAAGAGACTCCAACCTGTTTTGCCACCTAACTCATCTTTTGGTTCGCGGCCCTCACAAGATGAAACTCTGCAGGCTACCCTGATTCCTCTGCACCGACGCCAGCAGGCAGGGGGGAACCTGGCTGCCAGTTTTATTGGGTACAAGTGACTCTTGTTTCACCTCGGGCCTATGCCGGTTTTTGTCTTCAGGTTGTACGTTTCGTGCCGTAAAAACACGGCGTTTACCGTTACCGGACATAAAGGGAATAGTGCCACGTACCTGAAACCCATACTCCACAGCTGGCCCCGAAGGGCGGCATTTCAACCGGAGCCCTTTTCCTCTTCCCTTCATTGATTCATGTCACCGGATCCGGCCCTCGGTGCCGCAAAACGCGGGACCCGCGTTTTCGGGTCGTCTGCCTATTTCAGTTGGAACCCTGCGGAAGGACCCTCAGAGGAGATTCCGCTGCAATTGGGGGGTTCATGTTAATCTGCAGAGTAAACTTTCAGCAACCATTGGATCATTCAGCCTTTGAGCAGTCACAGCCGTCGTGAGGCGCTGGGCAGGGTTTAGGCAAGCTGAGTCGATCGCGTCCTTTTCTTATGTTTGTTTTGTTTAGGCAAAAAGCAAGTGCGGTAATTTTCGGATCCACAGATACATGTGCAGATCCACTGGTTGCTGAATGGTGACGGCGGATTAGCAGTTTCAGTGCACAACAGACTCTAAGCCATGCACAACTGCAACCGCAGCAGGGCCGGGCCAAGCAGACTCGCAACTGCAGGCCAAGCGATCAGCCATCAGAGCACGCGCAGCATCAATTCGCAGCATCGCGCGCAAGCACGATGCTAAGCTTGCTCAACAGAACTTGCAGAAGCTACGCTTGAGAAGGGACATTGACGTGTTTACGCTTTGTTTCTCGTCAGCAGTGGGAGAGGCGTCAGAGTTTATTTAACGTCTTTCTATGCTTCCGGGCCCCCCGTCGTCAAATACTATTTGGGGTCTCTTGCCGGGATTATGAACCAGGCTCCCGCCTGCTGCCGCCGACCCTCGGCGCATTAAGGGAAAAGTCATAAGGACCGGTCCTGAAACACGGGTGCCAGTCCGCAAACCCAGGGACCACTTATAAGATCCTCTACGACCACAAACAAGGATTAACGGAAAAGTCAGAAAGATGGCAGCTAGTCCGGGAGCGGTCGCCTCTCCCAAGGTTGTCCTGAAACTGGCGCTCCCGAAACTGCCCCTGCGACAGTTGCCCTGGACCGGTCGCCGACAGAGACCGGTGGCCAAGTTGGCCTGAAACAAGGCCGTCGGTGCCCTTGGCAGGGACCGGGACTTGGGGCTGTGACCACTGGAGGAAACAGGTGTCTAAAGCGGTTTGAGGCAGCACCAGGACTGGCACAGTCCTGTTCGAGCCGAGATAGCGGAGGAAACAGGTGTCTGGGGAGCGGTTTGAAGTGGGATCCAAGTGCCCAGGACTCGTCCTGACCGGTCCTGAAAGCGGTACTGGCCGGGACTGGTCCTGGGACCGATCCCGGGATCGTCCAGGACCGGTTTTGGCAAGTTATCCGAAGCACCAGAACCAGGGTCCCAGGACCAGTCCCAGCACCGGTCCCAGGTCCCAGGACTGGTGCCAGGACCGGTCCCGGCCTTTTTGTGCTTTTGGGCGTGTCCCCAGAAACCAAAAATTCATCATGGATTCAGTTTTAGGGTTGTGTTTAGGGTTAGTTTAGGTTTAGGGTTGGTTTGGGGTTAGTTTAGGGTTGGTTTCAGGCAAGGGTGTGCGTCCATCAACAAAACTCAATATGCGTGTCTGTGTGGGTGGGTGAGTTGCAAGTTTCTGATCTCTGGAAATCAAGCACCGAACAATCTAGGGCAGTTTCTTGCGCCAGCCATGGAACGCTGGAAGCCACAAACAGCTAAGCGGTGAGGAACGCTGGGGGACGCATCATCATTGAGCATAGGAACAAACCCACATATCGCATCATATCGCCAGCTTTGTTTTTAAGTTGCGTGGTTTTGTGGCCCTAAAACTTAACCCTAAGCCTACCCTAAACCAACCCTTAACTACCCCTAAGCCGACCCTAAGCTAACCCTTCAACTGTAAACCAAACCTAAAACACCCTCAATCAATCTTAAACTAACCCTAAATAATCCCGGCAAGAGACCCCAAATAGTACTTGACGACGGGGGGCCCGGAAGCATAGAAAGACGTTAAATAGACTCTGACGCCTCTCCCACTGCTGACGAGAAACAAAGCGTAAACACGTCAATGTCCCTTCTCAAGCGTAGCTTCTGCAAGTTCTGTTGAGCAAGCTTAGCATCGTGCTTGCGCGCGATGCTGCGAATTGATGCTGCGCGTGCTCTGATGGCTGATCGCTTGGCCTGCAGTTGCGAGTCTGCTTGGCCCGGCCCTGCTGCGGTTGCAGTTGTGCATGGCTTAGAGTCTGTTGTGCACTGAAACTGCTAATCCGCCGTCACCATTCAGCAACCAGTGGATCTGCACATGTATCTGTGGATCCGAACATTACAGCACTTGCTTTTTGCCTAAACAAAACAAACATAAGAAAAGGACGCGATCGACTCAGCTTGCCTAAACCCTGCCCAGCGCCGTCTGCAGCTGAGCCTGCGAGCTCTAAATTTTGTAGGCGGCAAGTAAAATACAAACCCCCCTCCACCACCACCCACCCCCTGCGACACCAAACCTGCCAAACCAAGCACCTCCACCCACGATGCCCTAAAACCCCTAAAACACTCTAAGCCAACCCTAAACCCTAAGCCGACCCTAAACCAACCTAAGCTAACCCTCAACCAACCCCAAACCAACCCTAAACCAACCCTAAACTAACCCAAAACCAAAACCAACCCTTCAACCCTAAACCAAACCTAGACCCAACCCTAAACCAACTAAAGCACCCTAAGCCAACAACCAACCCCAAGCCAACCCTAACCCCTAAACCCAGCCTAAACCAAACCTAGACCTGAACCAAACCTAAAACACCCCAAACCAACCCTCAGACCTTAAGCCACCAACTGTTTGTGGGGATTTGCGAACCATCTAGTGGCAGCCCACATGACACGGCGTGGCCCTTAGAGGTCTAAGCACCTGGCTCATTCAGCCCATGTGGCAGTGGCCTTTTTCGAGCATATTTCCCCACATCCCAGCAAATCTTTTGGCGTGAGAAGGTCATAGAGAAGCCCGCACAGCCTGAGAAGGCCATAGAGACAGCCTGAGAAGGCCATAGAGAAGCCCGCACAGCCTGAGGCCCTGCAGCCCACGGAGGAGGTCTTCGCGAAGGAGGCAGCTCCTTGCCTCCGACAACTTCTCCAAGCCTTTCCTGCCCCGAGACCCGGCGGCTGTTTGTTCGGATGGGCATTTGTTGCGCAGCGTTTCGTTACTGAAGTCAAACGAGCTCACCTTTGGGTGATTTGCTGGGCTGCCGATTTTTTGCTGGCGCAGGTACTGTTTGAGGTGCTGGTGACGGTGCGGGCGCATTTTTGTAGATTGCCGTGGTGCTAGGGGGCATGCAGTTCGGGGTGCTGGTGCAGGTGCTGCTTTGGGGTGCTGTTTGAGGTGCTGGTGACGGTTGACGGCAGGGCTAGAGGGCATGCAGTTTGGGGTGCTGGTGCAGGTGCTGTTTGAGGTGCTGGTGACGGTGCGGGCGCATTTGGTATGGCGCGGGCGCATTTTTGCGAGATTGACGGCAGGGCTAGGGGGAATGAGAGGGTGCTGGTGCAGGTGCTGTTTTGGGGTGCTGCTTGGGGTGCTGTTTGAGGCGCTTGTGACGGTGCGGGCGCATTTTGTCGGAGTTCCAGGAGGCATGCTGGGGCGCGTTCTGTTTGAGGTGCTGGTGACGCTGGTGACTGCGCGGGCGCATTTTTCCCCAGATAGCTGAAAGCTATGAAGGGTTCTTATTTCTAAAAAGGGGGCAAGCTATTTTGCGA